TTCTCTCTTGTTAAGCATATATAGATAGGGTTTTTGTGTTTTAATTTTACTATGATTAGGGAGAGGGGAGAAGAGTTCGAAACAAATCACAATAATTTAGAAAATGGGGAGTTTTAAACCTCCACACGTAGAAACCCAACATATATATAGAGTTTCGGAAAAAAAAAACATATATATAGAGTTGTTTTATTTAGGTCCCACATTGAACACACTCATATACTAAATACGCCCCACATCTACTTTTTTTTAATTAACTATCTTAATACACTCTAAATATTTTCTCATATTATGCTCACACTTTCTACCTGCATCCCACACTCTACACATAATCAACATCGCGTATTCCATATTCGTTTGGCCACTTCAAACTCCAACTAGCTTCATTTTGCTGTTTATCATACCGCAATGTGGTGAACCTGAGTTTGATTGATAAGGGATTAACCTTTTTACTTACCGACAACCACTTGATATGTTGAACAAGGAAACATCTTGCTTGGTACAAATCATTGACACCAATTCGTTTTCAAGGTTCTCTTTTTTTTGGTTTTGGGCGGCGGCGGCCCCGGGGGGTTGGGTGGGTGTGTGTGTGGGTAAGAAAGATGATGGGTGTGTAGTAGGGGGTGGGCACGGGTCAGGGCGGATTATACTATTTCCAAACTGAGAACCGGACCTAACCCGGCCCGTATAAAATGGGCCGGTTCCTACGTGTCCAACAAGTACCCTATTTTTTTTTTCCTTCTAATTTTCAGTATCTTCTCTAGCTTCTCTTGCTCGATTTTCTGCAAAATAACAAACAAACAATAACTATGAGAAGATGTATCACAATAGCATTGCAAATTTGATAAAGAAACAGACAAAATCAAAGCATGGGTCATATTGTAATCCACTACAGAAAACAGGTGTTCTAATAGAAACCCCATCTGAGCGTCTGGCAACAAAAGAAAAATGGAGAAAGCGCAACCGGAGCATAGGCTGCACAGATCCAACTTCCTCGCCAGAGAGAGAAAGCTTAAGTTGACCACGTTGTGCGCCTTCTCAGTTCTCTCCACCACTCCCCACTGCAAATGGACGACTCAAACGAGAAGATCTGATTGAAAATTTCACAACTTTTCACAAATTTTGTAAATCAAAATTAAGAAATTGACGAAATTGGAAGAAATAAGGGAAATGAGTTACCTCGGTGTTGAGATCGGAGGAGACGACGAAGGAGACGACGGAGGAGTTGGTGGGGGAGGAGGGTAGTGGGTGTAACATCCCACATCGCCCAGGGGAGTGATCCTTAAATGTATATTCTCATCCCTACCTAACACGAGGCTTTTTGGGAGCTCACTGGCTTCGGGTTCCATAGAAACTCTGAAGTTAAGCGAGAATGAGGCCAAAGCACTCCCAGGAAGGGTGACCCACTGGGAAGTTGCTCGTGATTCCCAAAAACAAAACCGTGAGGGAATGGTAAGCCCAAAGCGGACAATATCGTGCTACGGCGGTGGAACAGGCACGGGATGTGGTGGACCAGGGCCGGGATGTGACAGTGGCAGCATATCATTTCTCGATAGGGTGTGGGTGTGGGTGTGGTGTGTCTGTGATCCAGGAAGGAGCGTTGCAGAGATGGGGGAGAAGAAACAAAGCAGAGGAATGAAGGAAAAGGTTCGAGAGATTAGGGGAGGGGGAAACACGAGGAAGTGGGGGGGGAGAAGGTTCGAGAAATTAGGGGAAGTAGGGGTGTGAGAAATTTCACGGCCCACAGGGAGGAACAAAAAGAAGTGGGCTTGGGAGACAGTAAAAGTACCCAACACGGGGGTATTTTTGCAATCGGGCCGTCTGGGTACCCGTTTTTCTATACTTTTGGAACCAGCCCGAACCTAAAATTTCAAAGGCCCACCCCGCCCTGCCCCGTTTCTCTTTTTTAAAATTAGGACCCGCCCTGTACCCGCCCCTACCGACGGGCCCAGGGCCCGTTTGCCCATCCCTAGTGTGAAGGTGAAAACCAAAAACAACCTAATAAACAGTTGGGCTTCATAGTTGCATAAAAAAAGAGCAAAATGACTTGTGAAGGCTTACTCCACATTGTATATCAACGATTTAACCCTTCACTTTTTATGTCTTCTATCAAATATCATCTCTACTAAAATCACTCAAATATGAAATTATTTGACCATTAGATTAGATGGTAGTTATATTAGTATTTTTTTTCGAAAAAAGATGTATTCTTTTATTTCTTCACTATAATTGGATGTCTTGATGCATTGTAAATATTATAAATATCATAATTTGCAACACCACATTTTCAGTCAAATATGACGTTATAAGTTATAACTTTTAAGATAATACTAGGGAGACTAAATTTAGAGACAAAGTTTTGAAAACTAAAGGACATAGAAGTTGATGATTTGTTTATTACTTAAACGTTGATAAACATGCTTATGCTTATTCTTATTGGTGACACATTATTTAGTTTGCAAATTTAGTCTTCCTATCATTACCCTAACTTCTAACTTTGACCTTTTAAATTGGAGATAGCCCAAGAGAACACTGCCTGTCAACTAGAGTGTATGAAATTACCACTTAAACCTTTTTAATATTTAATAAGTTTTAATAATGAATATAAAATTAAGGATTTGACTACAGTACTTATATGTATTTGATACAATCTTCATTTCGATGGTCATATATGTTAACGCTCAAATCTGGTGAGGCTAACAAAGACCAGTATGGTCGTGTAGTCTGCACTTGATGGGTACGGGGTTAAAATGATAAGAACTAAGCAACAACATTTAAGTTGTTCACCTCTCAAAATTGGACTACTTCCAATGAGTCTCTTATATATATTGAATAGAATGTTACAAATAGCGCTTGGCTCAATACATTCTCTTTTCTTTCTCAATTTGTCCAACCCATTCTAAGGAGTGCTCATCCTCCTTATATAGGCCTTTCATGATCCCCAAATCTTCGGGCTCAAGTCTTTCACTGCCTTTACATTTAATGCACCGAATACGTAAATTTGACCTGCTAGCTACCCCTCCATTTTTTAGTTGACATGTGGTATCAAAGTGATATCCGTTTTGGTCCACTTGCATGTTTTCTTAGGACCAAGGTATTAAATATCGATGATATCGGAAATATCGGTAGTCCGAAAACACGGAAATATCGATGGAAATATCGGGATATTATCGATATCGATAAAAATAATATGGAAACCACGGAAATTGTAAGAAAAACTTGGAAATTTTTATTGAAACTTTGCTGGATGTTTATTTAGTCAATTATCTATTAGTTTATCACAAAAAATTGGAAGGAAATGCATTGTATGATGGATTTAACTGATTTAAGTTGATTATATAGCGAGCTAGCAAACATTGTGAGTGTAGAAAATATGTAGTAATTAATGAAAGAAGTTTAAACACACCATAATCATTTATATATAATGAATTAGTACAATATTTTACACTTTATACATTGCATGGTAAGATACATGAGTGACTTAGTACCACATAGAGTTCTTATGAGGTTCAAAATTTTGACTATCTTCATCATCTCTATGTGTAGAGTAAGTGTATTGTGAAGAGTAGTCATCAAATGATAAATCCCCAAAATAGTTTTGCATGTAATTGTTAACATGCCACCCATATGGATCCGAGATTAATTATCACCATTTTTTTTTACAGAAAATAGATCCGCAAACTAAACACAATCCAAAAAAAATTTAATTTTGTTCAACAAAAGATTTAAGAGAACCAAAAATTTTAATTTTGTTCAACAAAAGAAAAGAACATTAATGTTTTTGTTCTAGCATGTGTTGAAACATTGGATCCCCTTTCAATTGCCTTGAGCCATGAGCCACTCTCATTTTCAAACCAACCCGTGTAGAAAGAAAAAGGAGATGTTTTTCAGATTCCCAACCACTCTCTCACTCTATCATTCTCTCACTCTCTCTCTAGAATATGATGCTCTCATTTCTCCAACCTCAAGCCCAGCGCCCATTCTTACAGCCTTCTCTCTAACAGCAGCTCCACTCTCTCTCTCATAGCTCTTCATTATTGTCTGCAACCTGAAGCCCAGCAACATACACACCTCCGTGTCTCTATAATCATGAAAACTGAGATGCATGAAGGTAAATCCCTCCTCCATGTGTGTTAATTTTTTTTGTTCTTTTGTTTCAAATTTATGTGTTGGACTGAAATAGAGCGAGATCTAACACATGCATGTGCTTTCGTTTCATATTTATTTCTATTTCTATTATTAACCTCTGAATATTTCCATCAATTCTGGAGGGTTTTGATTTAGTTTGGTGAAGGAATAGAACTGATTCTAACCCTGGACAATTTCTACATCTTCTCTGCAGAATCTGGTAAGCTCCGGCGATGTCAAAGATCTGGAGGATGAGCGACAGAGCAAGTTCGGGAGGCGATCCAAACGACACAGCCTTGGCTGCCTTTACGACGACGGAGCCACGAGATTGTTTCGATAATATCGAATATATCGCGATATTATCGATAATATCGTGATATTTTGACAATAATTAGAGGATACGTGGGAAAATATCGGTTTCTCTAATAAACGATAATATCGACGATATTTCGCCGATATTATTGATATTTTAGTCATTGCTTAGGACAACATACCCCAAGTGCCTTGCTCGACCCTAGGTTGGTGGGAATCCACATCCACGTAGGATGTCCATGTGTCTCTAGAATTTCGTGCTATAAAGTTGTTTGTACACCAACTTGTTGCTGATGGTCATAAATCACTTTATGGGAAAAAGGCTTGGCTTCATTGTTGGCAGGCAACCCAGACCGCCAAGCGATCGTCTATAGCCCTTTTGATCATCCTTCCCAATTTCAGTTTAAAATTTTAATTTATCTAGTATTATTCTTTATTTAATATAAATTGTCGTCGTGACTTTTATTTTTAATAATTGTTTTTTATAAAAGGACTAAAAGAGAAAAGAAAAAAAATAAAAAATAAAAGAATAAAGAAAGTGACCTGCTTCTTCCTCTTTTTTCCCTTGATGAGTGGCTGGGGGCCAAGGCTATAGATACTAATGGGAGACTACGAGTCTACGATCCTGCGTCGGTATCATCTGCAGCAGTAAGTCCACAACATTACTTGCCAATGAACTGACGAAGTGCTTCCTTTGGGCAACCAGGCACAAAGACACACCCTTTCGTCTCCAACTATACACCTTCTCACTCTCACACAAACCCTAGACTTCCCTCTCCTCGCAGCTATGTCTATTTCACACTATTTTTCCTCTAATTGAAACCATTTTTTCCTTCATACGCTGCTCTCCCATTTTCCTCCCATTCAATTTATTCGAAATTCCGAAAATTCATCGTTTCTGCACCCCGCTCGCGATTAAAGTTTAAAGCTTTACGCAAGCGGCGGATAGATGATGACGGAGAATGGCAGCGGCGGCGCCAACAATAATGGTGGTGATAAGGAAGAGGAGGAGGAGGAGGAGCTCTCGGTTCCCAGAGGTGGGCCCATCTACGTTCCCAATGTTGTGGGTCCCCTCACCAGCGTCCCTCTGTTCCTGTCTTCTATTCTCCAAGAACTTCAGGTTCCATTGGTGGTTGAATTGTTTATAATTTGTATCACATTGCTATTTGTTGATGGGTTTGTTTAATTAGAGTTGTGTTCTGTTCATTTTGCAGGATTTAGAGGTGGAAGTGTCTCCAAATTCATCCCAAGTCTGTGACGAAGATATTTCGTAAGCATTTTTGCTTTTGCTTTCCATGTTTTGGGTTTTTCTTTTTCAATTTGGATTCTAGGTTGGTGGGTTTGGATTCTGAGTGGCATTGTTTGTGGCGTAGGGTGGATGAGCTTAAAATCTTGACCGAGGAAGAGTTAGTCGATATGGCTATCACGGAAGCATTTAAGGTGCACTAATACTCTCCAACTTGTGCATAGTTCTTTGTTTGTGATTTGAAGGAGCTTTGATGACTCATACATCGTGTTTATCTTAATATTATGGTTTTATTATGTGTTTGATTGTAGGATGATGAAGGTGCTCCCAGTCTCTCGCCTATTTCTGAAGAGCCCTCCAATGAAAGGTCAGTCATATTTATACATGAAGACATTTACCTTGGAATTGTGTGGCTGGTTTTAGTGTCATTGTGCGGTCATCGCAGTACCTCATACACATTGGCATATGTAGCAAGATCATGTAGTTCCTTGATTCATATGTATTTGATTAACTTATCTATGTATTTGTCCCTTTTTCTTGACTGTCTTGAATTTTTCTTGCACTTCAACTTTTACTTCTCTCTTGATGATTATAACTAGATTATGGAAATACTTTTTTATGTAAGCCCAGTATTTATCTTCCTCTTTCACATGTCTTGTTATAGTCTTATTGTCTACTTTCGACAAATATACTCTATTTTCTTGTAATAGTTGATCCTCTGTGAATTTCATTCTTATTCATTTATTTGAATTTTATACACCAAATTTAGGAGTGCAAATGATTCTGAGACTTCAAATGATAAAGATTGTAAAACGAAACCAAGGAGGAGAAAGCGAACAAATGAATATAATCACGCTCTTGAGGTAAGATATCTTTCGCTTCTTATTGTATGCTGGTAATGTGTTCATCCAAGTTGTTGTTAGTTGGTATAGTATCTAATTATACTAAAGTCTATATCTCCTTTAATTTTGAGATTCTAGGCCAATGCTGTTGAAAATTGGGTGCAAGAGGTAGTCAAATTCGAATGAGAAGAAGTATCTAGTTTGAAGGCTAATATACCACCTAAGGGAATTTTTTAAGAGAATGAGGGTCAAATGAGAAAGTTAGGGTGAGAATAATTTTATGGATTTCATTAACAGTTATGATGCTTGTCTTAACAAGTTACGGTTTTATTATGGGTTTGTTTGTAGGACGATGAAGGTCCCTCAAATCTTTCACCTATTCCAGAAGAGCTTTCCAGGTCAGTCATATCTATACATGAGTGAGCAAATTTACTTTGGAATTGTGTGAGTGGTTCCTTGATCATGTAGTATGGACCAAGATCATGTAGTTCCTTGATTCTTATGTATTTGATTTTCTTATCTATGCATTTGTTCTTTTGTCTTGACCGCCTGGACTTTTTCATGTACTGCAAATTACCTCTATTTTGGTGATTGGAACTAGGTACCGAGTGTACTTGTTTATATAAGCCCGGCATTATTGTTGTACTCTTCATATCTACTTTGGACAAATATCCTGTAGTTTTTTCTAATAATTTATCTGTTCATGGAATTTCCGTATTATTTTTTATTAATTATTGAATTTTTATATGCACCAATTTCAGGAGAGTAAGTGATTCTGGGATATCAAATGATAAAGCTTGTACAAAGACATCAAGCAAGGGAAAACGAACAAAGGCAAATGCGCATGCTCTTAATGTAAGATATTTTCACTTCTCCTTGGGTGCTGTTAATGTATTTATTTAAGCTGTTAGTACTTAGTATAGTATTTAGTTATACTAGAGTTTACATCTTCCTTAATTTTGAAAGCCTAGGCCAATGCTGTTGAAAATTGGGCGTAAGAGATAGTAAAATTTGAACGAGAAGAACTATCTAGTTTTAAGGATAATATTCCGCCAAAGGGAAGTTTATAAGAGAAAGAGTGTGAAATGAAAAATTATTTATAAGTACCCTGGTGACGTTGGGCAGAAAGGATATTGCAATGTAGAAGAGTCATTGCATTACAGTCTTCATTGTCCTTGCTTATATATAAATATATGTATATATATATATATATATTTGTATTTGTTATTGTAGTACCAACTTAACTGCTGCCACATTCCAGGAGACTTATATTGCAAGGGTGGAGCGTGTTAAAAGAATAAAAGAAAAGCAAGAGGAAGACAAATCGGCTGTGACTCTGCATTCTTTCAAGTTAGTTTAATGACTCTGTAACTTGCTGAATGATTTGTCTCTCCATTTTGAACTAAATGTTTTTCTTTACGGTGATCCAGCCGTAGTTCGAAGACGACTGAACTTTCCATTGCATCCTCAAGGACAATTGATAGGATGAAACCCCTCAGATCTGCAAGTTCATCAGTGAAGGTTTGCTTAAGAGTTGCCTATTGTGAATGTTTATTGTTAATTATGTCTTTTAGATTGTATTGGAAATCCACTAACTAATGCTTCAAGTTCTATATAAGTCATCTTGACTCTTAAGCTATTATCTACCTTGTTGGGAATGAATCTCACATTGATAGGAGGGACCTTGCATGGGCTTATAAATAAGTTGGGTTACTTCCCATATTTGCAATTGGTTTTATGGTGGAACCTCAACTTTTTTCATGGTATCAGAGCATGTTGTCGCACGTAAAATTCGCCAGATGGGGGGGGGGGGGAGACGTTAAGAATGAATACCACATTGGCAGAATGAGGGACCTTGCATGGCCTTATAAGTAAGTTAGGCTACTCCCCATATTGCCAATTGGTTTATGGTGGAACATCAACTTCTTCACTACCACGTCATCCTGTTGTGTTGTCCATATGTTGGACTTGAAAATTCGACACACGTGAAGGGTCGTGTTGAGAATGCATCCCACTTTGATGAATAAGAGACCTTGCATGTGCTTATAAGTAAGTTGGGCTACTCCGCATATTACCAATTGGTTTTATGATGGAACATCAACTTACTTCACTGCCATGTTACTGTAGGAGGTTTTTCAAACAAAATTGTTACTGAATCTTTGTTAGTAAATGGTTTGTCATGCGATTGAACTTTTGATATGTGGTGATCAAGTGCCATACCTACTAGTAAAATTGACCGTTTGATATAACTCTCAGATGAAAATGAACAGAGATTCATATTAATGAATGTCCTTCACTCCTATCTGATTGATGAGAAATTACCAGGACTTGTTTTATGGCTATTATGTTATTTTGTTATACTGTGTTTTGAACAAATTGTTCCCACTGTTTCCTCAAAACTGGTCGAGGAATGACTCGAGTCAGATCTCAAACCCAATGTTGTCCATTAGAGGCAAATGCTGGTTGCACCTAGAATAAGTTGTAACTTTCATGTTGTTCAGATCTCATTGCTGAAACCAATGTCATTTAAGCCGATTGATTGCTTTTGACTCTAAAATACATGTTTGCATGCAGTCATATTTAATTTGCCGACTCTGACCTCTCAGATTGTTGATTTTGTATTTTTCCCCTCCTATGCAAATCAGGTGAAGTCATCCAGCATTCAGGAATTTGTACCTGCGCAATATCCAGACGTTGCTCTTTCCATTGAGGTTTACCAAAGTGTGCAAAAAAGGTTGAAGGTATAGCATCTTCAATGTGTTTTCTTGGTGATGTCATATTGAATAGATGTTGGTTTCGTTGTTTTTCAATTGTATAGTTCCTACTAGTCAAGTTATAATGCTAGAATTTTTATTGGGCTTCTGATTTGTAGGGTTGAAATATCTGACATGCCTCTATGATTGAGATGTGTGCAAATGCAATTCTTCATTTTTGCAAGGCATACGTTACATAAGATACAAACATTGACCAGAAACTCCAAAGACAGAGATATCCATGCTTAAAACCTAGCTGGCTGAGTATGCTTTATACAAAAATGTAAGAAACTCATGGTACGCGTAACTCTGATAGGAAGTTCTCGGAATTAAGCCTAAAGAACAACTGGATCTGCCCCTTTTATTTCGGAATTGCTTTGAGTTCGCTAGGTTTGTAGACTTGGGTTTTTGGTCCCTTGTGGCCGAATCCCCTTCAATAAATTGGTAGTCCACTGAGAGTGGAGCAAGACCAAAAATGATGCAATAGACTTGTGATTTTTATGTACATACGTCCATCTGGTTTCTTTTAGTATTGTTTAGGGAAATGGTAAACTGTAGGCCGAAGAAAAAAATAGTTAGGTTTCCTTCCTTTGCACTTTTGTTATGCAGTACTCTTTTTGCTTATTCTCATGGTTCTTGCCTCAAGTTCCTGTTGTTTCTGACATAGTAAGATTGTTTGCAGAACCAAGAGTTGTTGGTCCTCGGACAACAAACCTTGACTGAACTGAGGGATAAGATCGACTGCCTGACAGACCATGTGATGCAAAAGGCTGGTCAGCATGATCCTTCAGGATACTTCCTTGTAGAAGTAAGAAATCTATGTATTAACTCGTTATTTTCATGATGAAGATAGTATTTGCTCTAAAATCTAGTATATTGCTATCCTATGTAGGATACATTTTGCAATGATTTGAGAGATCCCTCCTCAGTAGATTATAGCGAACCTATATTCGATTGGCTTAAAGATTCTAAGGGCGCTGCTCTGAAAAAATGGGAAAGCGTTGTAGCTGGAGAATTGAAAAAGAAGCAGAAGGCAGTCGTAGGAGATGTAACAGGGTCACAATTGCCTAGTTTCAGAGCTGTTGACATGGACAAGACTAAATTCTCGGACTTGAAGTTCCGACTTGGTGCTGGATATCTGTATTGTCACCAGGTACAGATCTCTGTTACCATCTGTTCATGCTTTAGAAGGGAAATGTTATTTTGTGGTTTGCCTACATATTTTACATGTTGAGAATCTTTATGAAGTCCATATGCATATTTAGTATTATTTAAAACTGGAGTCAGTTATCTTATAGGATCTATTTTCTCATCCTCGTAGTAAGATACGAAATTCATCAGCACCTTTAACTGTCTGGACAATTTTAGGTTCAACGATGCAGAGACAAGCATTTTTACTTTTTAACTGTTTAATTTGAGCAACAAGATAAAATGGACACGCTTATTGGGAATTTTGCCTTCAAACCATGATTGTTTTCAACTGTCTTATTATATATAAAAAATATATAACAAATCGTAGATTTTGGTTGGACGGCGTTGTAGTTTTTCATGTTTGGTCTTTGTACATGTCGATGGTTGTGCTGTTCTTGTGATTTGGCTGCATAACTTGATTTTGGGGAATGACTTGGGACAGGGAGACTGCAGACATACGTTTGTAATTCGTGACATGAGATTGATTCATCCCCAAGATATACAAAACAGGGCAGCTTATCCAATACTCTTATTTCAAGTGAAGCCAGTTATACAAAAATGTTACGCTTGTAAAATATTTCGAGCAACAAAGGTAACTGTAGATGACAAGTGGGCTCAGGAGAACCCGTGTTACTTCTGCGACGATTGTTACTACCTCCTCCACTATAAGGACGGACATCTTCTATATGATGACTTCTCCGTGTATGATTATCACCATGATTGATTGTTTTGTACAATTACTGCTGTTGAATCTAATGCAATTTATACATGTTTGATTCTTTTTGTTCTTGTATTACGTCTCTTCTCCCTCTGCTCTTATGTCTCTCTCCCTCTTCTCAATCTAAACGACGGTGAGGTTGCGGCTCCTTTAGTGGCCAATACAAGGAGAGTGTAGATAGAAGGCGAGACATCAATGCTCAAACCTAGCTGGTTGAGTATGCTTTTATACAAAGATGTTAGAAATTCATGGTATGTGTAACTCTGTGATACGAATTTCTCAGAATTAAGCCTAAAAAGATTGACACCACTAGTTACCTGTAACAAAAATACAACTGTGGAGAAGATGAAGAAGGATTAAGTACCTACTACTGCATAGGACGAATGCTTTACATATGTGTTAGTAGAAGATAAGCCCCATTAGTTCGAACCAAGATATGACATTACAAGAATAAGCAAGAAGAACAAGAGAAGCAGAACGAAGAAGAAGAAGAAGAAAGAAAACAGAAAATGGAGATGGGGAAGGTTTTGAAGAAAAAGGAGGAATAAATTAGAAATTGAGGGCTTGACAAAAGGCGGTATTGAAATTGAGAAGGTTTAATCTAATAATATGAATGAGGATCATTTCTGGATTCTTTTTGTGAGGATCCCGAAGATCTGTGAATCGAGTCCGTTTAATTTTTTTATTTAAAATTGAACACAAACAGTACCTAATAAAAATTGACCGCATGATATACAATAAAAGAAAACGATTTACGAATTTCCGAAATCTTCAGAAATAGAATCTAAAGAGAATCCTCATTCAATAGATATGATGACCTAAAGACTAATTTGTTTCCAGAAGTAACAATAAATTAGGGACAATATTTGGTACGGAAAAGAATCCTCGGGGATCCTAGAGATTTAATTTTCGTTAAGTACTATTCATATTTAATTTTAAATTTTAAATTTTGAAATAATTTTTAACCACACGATTTACAATGAACGGGTGAGATCATGGGGTCTCTAAGATCCCCATGAAAAGGATCAAGCGACCATCCTTTTCCATTTGGTACTGACTTTACTCACCAAAATGGCCAATAAAAATAAGACACGTGTTAGATGAGTACTACTCATTTTACTCATCAACCTATGTGGTCTAATAAAAACAGTAAAGCCTCGTTTGGTAGCTCGGATTGTAATGACTATTTCTGTCAGATAGGATAAATAATCATCGGATAGTACTGACTAAATTAGTCGGGCGTTTGGTGCAGTATCGAACTAAGGACCGTATTATTTATACTATGTTTGGTATTGAACTGGATAAGAAAAGGGAAGAGGGATTCTACTAAGCTTCTACTGAGATGGGCATGGCCGCATGGTTGAGATGCTCCCACATAGGAGGGATTCTGAGCATCCGCAGATGCTACTAATTTGCTGAGAGTTGGAATGGATCTTAAGGGCTTCAAGTTTGTAATCAGAGGGGATTAGAAGAACCCAGAAAATGGTATTGAGAAATAAAGGTCAAAGAGATGAAGCAAGTCAATAAGGTTGAGAAGGACGGAGCCCAAAGCCTTTGCCATCGAAAATCAAGGTCCAAGAGGATGGAGGCGCGATCGATGACCTTGTCTAATCTGGGTCGGAGGTGAATTAGACAACGCAGCTCATGGATTCTCCAATTGAGACTCAAATTTGAGGTCTTGTTACTTTGTGATTCTGGGTTTAGGGCAAGGAGGAAGGGAAATGATGTGAGAGATGATGGAGCAGGGAGCGAAGCGAGGAGGACAAAGCAAGTTCTTAGGTAGTCCTGTGGTATGCGGATGGCCTCGTCTAGAGAGAGCAAAGCAGAGAGAGCGTCTGGAGAGGATCGTGTGTCTGGAGAGGAATGAGAGAGTGTCTGGAGCGGAAGAAGAGAACCCGACTAAATTGTACCATGGTTTTGGATGGTATAAGCAAGCGGGTGTATACCTGATAAAGTTGGTGGGCCCGGATTATTAGTATTATCCGGTGTCTTATACGGTGTGCCAAACGAGGCCTAAGTGTTAGATTTTTAAGTTTTTATAACCAAGTAACCAAATAGCCATTTCGCTTATTAAACGTTTAACCAAACAGGCCACTTCGTCTTCCTGCTCCAGTAAGTCTGCAAAATCTTCCAAGTCATGGCTAGCATGGCTTGTTGGCTTCTTTTTCATTCGAAGGCTTTGTTGGGCTTGTGTTGTAAATAAGTAGACAAAGCCTTTACGGCCCCCATTTTTGAGTTAGCGAGAACTAGGCGCAAGCCATTCCAAATGAGAAACGAGTCCTAGGGTATGCTTTGTTGTTTATCCAGCAACTCCTAAGTGATTGATTTGATGTTACGTTGAATGTTTCTGGCGCTGATAAGTGTTTCTGGCAGCTTTGAAGTTCTTCAGGTGTTTGTAGAAGTTTTGCTGGCGGCTGTTGGAATAGTGACTTGGCATGAGAGAGCTCAAGGTGTGGTAGCTAAAGTCCCACCAGTTTAGCAAATAAGATGACGTTTGCTGTTGGCAAGGCTTAAGTTTGGCATAAGGTCTTCTAAGAGATTTGATATTGGATGAGTTTGACCATAATGCATGGTTGGATTTCATGTGGAGGGGAACTTGAAGCTTGATTTGTGGATTTCGTATTTTTAAAGTAGATGAAGGAAAAAATTGGAGGAAGGAGAATGGGAAACTTGAGGCTAAGCTTATGGGTGGTGCAGAAAGCCTGCAGTAGGCAAGAGAGAGATTTTTGTTGGAAACGGCTGATGTCCAATGGGTAAAAGGGTGGAATGAAATCTATTTAACAACCTGTAGACCAAAGTTTGTGAGATAACTTTGCAGTAATAATATGTTCAGGGTAACATATGACTTGGTGAAGGAATGAGGCGAAATGTTTCTTGGGAGGACAAATTATTGTGGAGTTAGGCCAGCATAGAATAACTCTAAGTTGGGTTTGGACTTTGGTGCTCTAAAGTAGTCCAATGTTTCCATTATCAAACAGTTTTCATGAGTCTTGTGGACCTTCCCAACTTTCCACAACTCAACCTCTCGAGCAAGCCATGTGAAACCACATGTAGATCATGTGAGCTCGGTTGGTGTTGGGTTTAAACGAATAGGTTCAACATGACGTGGTATATTTCCTTGTTTGGCCAGTCATGATAACTAACTAAAACTGGTTAAAACCTTACTTAACTACTAATTTTTAGATACATAAATATAATATAAATGGGATTAGCATGAAATTGTATGACAGAATAGAACTTTTGGGCCTTCAATCCTCTTGGGCCTTGTGTGAAATTTTTGGGCCCAAACATGCTTCCTTTTTCCAGCTACCCTAATAGGCCAACCCCATCACCAATTCTTCTCTTCTCCAACGACCTACCTCCAATCCCTCTCTTCCGCATCAACTGACCTGTCATCTTTCCTCAAGTACAACGATTACTGAGGACGACCACCCTGATGTGTATTGTTTTAAAAATCCTCGCCTAGGCACTAGACTGCTGGCCACCGCCCCGATTAATGTCTAGGCGTTTGAAAAATTAAGAAATGATGCCTAGATCTGCTAAAGCGCCTGCCTAAACTCGCCTAGGTTGCGACTCACTTGGGCAGAAAATAGATAACTTTCATTTTGCATTTTATTTTTTTCAATAAATTGTAAGAGACTTGTTGAATACTTAATGAGCATACATTATATACTTGTTCCCCATGTTTTCATTATGTTCCAATACTTCATAATAAATGTGTCATTCTATTTTGTAGTTTATGATAAAATTATATATATTTTAAGTATATGAAATATAGTGGATTTAGTTAAATCCGCCTAGTTCACCTAGGCGCTCGCCTAGACCCCGCCTAGCCGCCTAGGTGCTAGGCTCCAGCTCGCCGCCCTACTAACTCTTAGCATCTTTTAGAACCTTATTGCCCCGTAATTGTTGAAGCCTAGGGCTTGGATCTTGCAAACGATGGCGGAGTCGACAAAGTACCTGTGGTTGCGGACTTGTTGTGGTTGTGGAGCACGGAAGAGAGGTTCGAGTAGGGGATGGAGGTGGGGTCGACAAAGAAAAATTAATTTGTAATCTGGAAAAGATGAGAGGAAGAAGATGTTGTTTGGTTAGGGACATAAGGTGAAGGATGCGTGTTTGGGTATTACAATAGCAATTGTTTGGAGAGGTTTGATAGGACATATGTCCATATTCAATTGATTGACATAAGAGGTCAGTAAAATTATTGTACTTATTGATGCACAAAATCAGTAAAGACTTTGGAACAACGTAAAGTGTCAAGTGTGTGACCTTCGCTCAGTTGCTCTGGTCACCTAGTGAGGATAATATGTAAACAGATAGAGATAGGGAAGCAAACACAAGATGTACGTGGTTCACCCTAAGTCTACCTACGTCCACGGAGTAGAGAAGTTATCATTAATAGTGAATGGTTCACACAAGTAAATAAGTCTAAGCATAATCACCATTAGTAGGTTCTAATGACTGGTTTAAGTAAAATAATGACATTGTGGATTAATTGTAGGAGAATGGTCTCCTTTTTTAGTTAAGGAGAGTCTTTAGCTTTTGTCCGCGGTTGCTGTGAGACTCTATGAGCTTTATTTTGACGTTGACATGTGTCGCGCTGTGATTGGCCTTCTGGTTGGAAGGAAGCTCTTATGCTTCGGTATGAGTGCCTTAGCATGAACCCCTCAGTGGGTTCTTGAAGGTATGACGTTAACCGATACTCAGTAGTTTCAAGATTAGTCAAGTATGGTACAAACAGTGCTGACTGGTCAGCACTCAAGTATTGTTCTTAAATTAATATATAAAGTTGACAAAATATAAAATCGCAAAGGGTAAAATAGGCATAGGAAAAATTGAAAGTTGGTGAAAAAGTTTATTGTGAAAATACATAATTTTTAGGTTTGCATTAAAATACGCTTCACTTGTAAGTGAGAAGTGTGATTCGATTTTCGTCAAATGCAAATTCGAACCACATTGTTGCTAGCCGATTATGTTTGTTCAGAATATGTAACTTTTCTAATAAATTGGATAACCCGATACAACTCAAATTACCTACCCATTTAACCCAGCAAACGCAGAATCATTTTCCGGTGAAATCTTCCCCACAAAGCTCTAGTATCCTCCTTTCTCCCATATCTCTTCATCCTCCTCACTTCCTCCCTTCACCTGCCCTGCTGATAACCACAGGTATACGGATTGATTGTTTTACACATATATATTGTTAATTCCATTATTTTTCTCTTCATCTTTCTAGATTGTTTAGTTAAATTATACCTATATTTTTTGGGGGGTGATGTTTCTGCAATTTTTTTGCTGCTGGAACACTATCATTGATGATTGATGATTGATGATTATTTATCTGATTATTCTTTCCTCATCCCGATTGTCAAATTATATGAGATTTTTGGATGGTAGTATAGGAAACCCTAGCTCTTGCGGCATGTTGATTGTATGTATATAAGCTTTAGGGGTTTTCTACTTTTCCTTCAATTTTTTTTCTAATACTTTTATGGATCTTTTACAGTTACAGGAGAAAGATTTGATCATCTAATTAACATGGCAGAAGGTGGCCTGCCGGAGCGACAGACGCAACTGGTCCCATCGGATCATGGTGCCTGTATCTTCACAAATGATATCATCATCGAGATACCGTCATGGGTTCCAGGGAAATCCTTACTACGATTTCGGCGTGTATGCAAGTCATGGCGTACCTTAATCTCAGATCCTTATTTTGTCAGAAAGCAGCTCAGCCATACAGTTAGACGCATCATCAACAACAACAACGACAACTTGAGGCTACTAACGTTTACAAGTACAAGGCATCTCAGGTCCATAGACTATGAATCTTTATTGACATTATTAGCGAAGAACAAGCACGAAAATGTTAGTCGTGTAGTTGTTCCACGCTGCAGAAAGCACAAATTACTACTGGTAGAGCCTCAAAGAAGATTCGTGCAGATTATGGGTTCTAGCAATGGCTTGATGTCAACAGATAAACTGCTTGGACGTTGTCTTGTGGAACCCTTGTACTGGAAATGCCAACAAGTTACCAAAACCTACTTCTTCAGTTCTTCCCTCATTTTATGGGTTCGGTTATGATTCTGCGACTGATGATTACAAGGTCATTTGCAAAAATCTAACTCCTAATCGTCAATATGAAATTTTTCTTGAAGATGGGTTCATGGAGGACTGTTGAAGGCCTCAATCATGTTGAATTGATTGGACGGGGTTTGTTGTTGAACGGGGCCCTACATTGGCTAGACAGGAAACGCGGTGAAGGTAGCCAAATAGATTCAAAATTAAGAATCATATCTTTCGATTTGGCTCAGGAAAACTTTCAGGAGCTAGTGCGCTTACCCATTGTCATTGAAGAACAATCGATGATTTGGGCGGATGTGTTGGAAGTTCAAATCAAATACAGTGGCCGAAATTGGTGGAACACTTTTCAGAAATTGGTGGAACACTTTTCAGCTAGCATGTTGTTTTTTTAACAGCTATACTTGTTTTTTATTTGATAGCCTTTTGTGTGTGTCTAAAGTAGCCAAAAGTGTTAAACGGTGTGAAGAATTTTGTACACCTTTTCTTTTTTGTTTTGCATGCTTTATGTTGTCTTGTAAAATCTCTATAATAGAGACAGGTGTGTGTCCGTGTAATAAGATCATCAGAATCTCATTTCCATTTCAGCTTGTAATCAATTGAGTTTGTAAACTCTTATTAAATATATCAAGGTGTTTTGCTTGTTTGCCGTGCAGTTTGTCCAACACAGAAGCTTGCTTCTTCATTTACTTCTTTCTTTCTTTGTCCAATTTTATTAAGAGTGATGTGTGATAGAGTTAGAAAACTTATCACCCACATATTTTGGTATTAAATTAGTAAACTTCGAATACCAACAGGATGTTGGGGATTATAGAGGTTCTCATCTTTTGTGTGTTCTTACCCATTTCTGCTGCAGAAACAGGAGTATGATAATATGGGTGATGGCAGAATACGGATTCGAGGAATATTGGACCAAACTGATAGTGCTGAACGATATACCCTATATAAATCCACGGCTTTTATATGTGTTCAGAGGATGATAAAGTTTTCATCGGCTCAAGTAGCGGTGACTTAATATTATATGATGCAAAGGAAAACAGATATAGGATTGCTATTAAGCCTAAAAGGTCTCCATCTCTTCAATTAGCTATGTACGTAGAGACTTTGCTTTCGCCGGTAACTGGGAGGTAGTGCAAGCATCCAAAACTCAGCTGAGGGATATGATCTACTTCTAGACAGAACATTTGATGCAAAAGGCTGGTCAGCATGATCCTTCAGGATGCTTGCAGAATCTAGTAAACAGAAGGAACTCAAGATACTTCAGTAATGGCTAAGGATACTTCGCCACTTTTGTCGAATTACTTTGAAATTTTGTAAGAAGTCTATCCATTGATTAACTTGTTATTGTTATCAAGCTGATGAATTTCTTACAAACAGAGGGGATAAAAGAGGACTGCAAAGCTTGAGATTACAACCATGAATTTCATTCCCATGCACATAAAAATTATCTAAATCCTATGTCTTCTTAGAATTACGAACCCTAAAATACCTTGCGTTCATAGAATGACCTTCCTGTCCACGTATTAATTTCCCTCCTCTCTCTCATTTACATCGTTTTTTTTTTTTTTAATTTATTTCCCTCCTCTCTGACGAAGATGATTGAAGGGTGGCAGGCGGCCGATAAGGAGAGTGGTGCCTGACCTCTGAATCTCTGATAACTTTTTATTTTGAACATATTATCTTAACGGTAATCGCAAACAAGGTAAAAAATACAGAATATATTATAACTTAAATTGAGTGTAGAGATAAAATAAATGGTTTGAATAAAAAATTTCAAAATAAAATATATCAGAGTACGAATGGAGAAGGGTAAGAGATGAGTAATCCAGTTAACAACTAATATCCATATCCTAACCTTACTAGAAACCTTATCCCCCACGGCCTTCTCTCTCTCTCTTTATATATATATATATATATATATACCAAATAAAAGTGATGGGATGCGCCACGGAAACTTACAATGGCAGACGGCGGCCTCCGGAATCGACAGAAGCAACTGGTCTCCTCCGGTGACGGTGTGCTAACACCACCTTATATTGAAAGCACTGGCATCATTGTTGAGATACTATAATGGCTACCAGGGAACACTTTAGTACGATTTCGGCGTGTGTGCAAGCTATGGCGCACTATAATCTCCGATTCAAATTTTGTTAGAAAGCAGCTCTGCCGACGCATCAACGACAACAACTTCAGGCTCATGTTTTTCAAAAGGAGGTATCTCCAGTCCATAGACTATGAAACATTATCATCATTATTCGTGAGGAATGAAGATATTAGTAGCATAGTTGATGCAAGCTGCAGCTCTAGAACGCACAATTTGCGAAGATCGTCTCGAAGTCAAATTCGAAGGGTGAACATCATCGGTTCTTGTAATGGCCTCGTATGTCTAGGAATAAACTGTGTGGACATTTTCATATGGAACCCTTGTACTGGACTTACCAATGTGTTGCCAAAACCTACCGAACAGCTTTTGCGTCCATGTCTTTACAGATTTGGTCCGTGTTTTTACGGATTTGGTTATGATTCTGTGACCGACGATTACAAAGTGACTCTGGGAGAGAACAGCAATGCAATTCATATCTGTAAAGTCGTGGTCTTTACCCTTAAAGGGGTTAATGGAGAACTGTTGAAGGTCTAAATCAAGATGATGATATTCAATTGCAGAAGCGGGGGTTGCTATTGAACGGGGCTCTACATTGGCTACACCATGGGCTAATAAGTTCAGAATCAAGAGTCGTCTCTTTCAATTTAGACGAGGAGGAGAAATTTCAGGAGTTGGTACCTTTGTCGAATATTGTTAACGGAAGAAGAAATATGAGGGCGGATATCCGGCCTTATAGACGTTCTCACCTTTTTTGTTATCTTAGGGGTGATGATGAAAATATGGAAATATGGGTGATGATGGAATATGGAGTGAAGGAATCTTGGACCAGACTCATGCTGATACAAATGGATGATCATCAGCCCCGTCCAAACTATATCTACGTTTTACACGATGATAAAGTTTTGATGAGCTACCTTAGAGGTCACTTAATATTATGTGTAGACATTGAAATTTCGGTGAAATAAGTATTGACAATTGTATTAAAATTACAACCTCTATTCATTTCACCTACATCATGGATGGTGGTGATTCATTCTCAAAGCCTATAAATAGGCTTCTCCATCAAGCAAAAGGGAGGATTTTACATACATTCTCTCTACTCCTAAATTGGAAGAGAATTCACATCACACCAAAGCCTTGAAGCCTCGAAACTCTAAAGCTCTCAAGCAAATCCCGATGAATCAAGAAAGCCCTCTTCGTTCTTCGTCAAAATCCTCCTTCAAGATCAAGCCCCAACGGCCCTTGAGGAAACTTCCACTAATTCAAGATCAAGCCCTGACGGCCCTTGAAGAAAGTGTTCATCATTCATCATCCGTTCATCCTAAAGATCAAGCCCCGACGGCCCTTTAGATCAACAACATAAAATCCACCCATTACAAAGATAGAATCAGAGGCTAAATTTGTAGAAGAGATTGTAACCCTTAAATCATTAATACAAATATTATTTTGTACACGTGTTCTTGTCTCATTCATTGCAAGAATTCCCGTGTTTACAAATTTGGCACACCCAGTGGGACAATTCTCTACCTCTCATCTCTATCTTTGAATCCGCAAAAAGCACAAATGGCATCAAAGAAGGCTCAAGTTGTTCTCGCAGCCAATGCAAGGAACAAGAGCGTCATCACCGCAGGTGGTGTCACTTCGGGCGTCACAACTCGAAGCAAGGCAAGAGCTCTTTCTGTCGCCTCTTCTACCCCTGCATCAACTCCGCCGAAGGAACAAGAGCACTCGAGGCACGAACCTGTGATCACCCTGGCCTCGCTAAGGGCGCCAAGGGAGGAAAGCCCAAGGAAGTACTCTGGTTCTATGATTTCCGATGCTGACTCAAGCGGCAGCTCAGCCATGCAAGTCATGACCACTGGAGCGACTTCAATCGATAAGCAGCTGGCTCATATGAATGAAGCGATCGCAAGGCTTACACGGAATGTGGAGGATAAGGACCTGCAAATCGCCGCACTCGTCAACCAATTGGATACGAAGCCCGATGTGAAAGTCGAGTAAGGGGATAATCCAGTAAAGAAGGAAAACGATGAGGATGAGGAGCCTCATGCGGAGAAAGTCGAAGATAAGCTAAAGCTAGACCAATCAGCATCACTCATGGGATCTCTTTCTATCCAACAGCTACAAGAGATAATCGCCAGCATCATCAAGGCACAGTATGAAGGAAGCTCACATGACTCCGTGCTGTACTCGAAGCCCTACTCCAAGAAAATTGACGCTTTGAAGATGCCGATGGGTTATCAACCACCAAAGTTCATGCAGTTTGATGGAAAGGGAATTCCGAAGCAACATGTCATCCATTTCATTGAAACCTGCAACAATGTTGGAACAGAGGGAGACTACCTCGTCAATCAGTTCGTGCGCTCGCTGAAAGGCAACGCCTTTGACTGGTATACTGACCTCGAGCCTGAATATGTCAACAGTTGGGATTAGCTAGAGAGGAAGTTCCTCAACTGCTTCTACAACACCCACCGCACTGTAAGCATGTTGGAGCTGACCAGTACGAAACAGTGCAAGGATGAACCTGTCATTGACTACATCAATAGATGGCGTTCGTTAAGTCTGGATTGTAAAGATCGGCTTTCTGAAACCTCCGCCATTGAGATGTGTGTTCAAGGCATGCACTGGGGGTTACATTACATCCTTCAAGGCATATAACCAAGAACGTTCGAGGAGCTGGCAACTCGTTCCCACGACATGGAGCTAAGTATTGCCAATCACGGGAAGAAAGAACCGATCATCGACTTCAAGAAGGATAAGGTGTTCTCCCCAAATGTAGACAAAACTGGGAAGAAGCCCCCCAATGAAGCGTTCACCGTCAACACTGCGCCCATCAAGACCTCATCCGCGCCTATCAAGATCTCCTCCAAAACCAAAGCAAAGGAGATAAAGAAAGGTGAGCTTCCTCGCACCCAAGACAGGTACAAAAGCACATTGAGGGAATTAGAGCAGAAGGTGTACCTTTTTCCTGACTCAGACATGGATGCAATGTTAGACGACTTGCTGGAAAAGAAGGTAATCGAGCTACCCGAATGCAAGCGGCCTGAAGAAATGAATCGCGTAAACGATCTTAAATACTGCAAATACCATCGAATCGTGAACCATCATGTTGGTAAGTGCTTCATCCTCAAATAACTCATCATGAACTTAGCACAACAAGGGCAAATCGAGCTTGACCTCGAAGACATGGCCGCAACACATACTACCACAATTGCATTTGGATCTTTCGATCTCGTGTTTCTCCAAGCGACACCTGACCATTCTTATCAATGCTCGAGTTGCACGATACCTTCTGCGCAACCATCGCTGGGGGCAAACGACCAGGATGCACTTACCGATGATGAAGAAGGATGGACGGTGACCTATAAGAAGACAAGGAAGCCAAGACCACAAGCTAGAAGGCTAAATGGGGAACAAGTGAGAAAGCACCGTCGCCGCAACAGTAGGAAACCCAAAAGAAACGTAAAAGCTGCTAAGCCTACGTATGCTAGGGAAGCTATGAAACAAGAGCCACGCATTCCTGTCTCCTTGCACAAATA